GGGGGGGGGGGGGTGATAAAAATGAGATGAAACAGAAACTATTGGTGTTTGAGCATTTTATGATTACACAAGGCTTGTAGACAGTGTTCGTGTTCTCATAACTGGCATATATACTATCGTGGTCAACCCGAAAATGCGATGAATTAATTTAGCCAACGAATTTTATTTCTGACGAACGTTTATATTTGACGAGTCCTTTTGGATAACACCCCAAAGGTGAACCTCATAGTGGCGAAAAAAAACTAGCCAACAATCGGTAGTTTTAACCAAGAAATGTCAATAACACAAGGCTGCAACTAACTTACTGTTCACAAATTACTGAAAACCGGTTCTCGTAGCTCGGGTGAACTTAATTCCATTTCGCCTGTTCTCCGAGCTTGGTAATTTGTTTGCCAACGTTTTTTCTCATCAGTCGATGTCACCACGGACGTTTTTAAACAAATTGTCAAACTCGGGGAGCAGGTGAAATGGAATTAATTGATTTAATACCAGCGTTGGACGGAGTCGGCGGGGTTTGCATGTCGAAACTTAAAATTTGATTAGCTATGACATCGTGAAAAGTTAGTCTATTGAGAACCATTTAAGAATCTCCCAACCTATATTTGATTCCTTGTATTCATCCTAAAACGTCTTCCTTTGCTTCTTCTTTCGACCCAAATATAGTATGTACTCGGACAACATGGTGGTCATTCGCCAAAGTTTGATGTCAGTCCCCAATGCTTCATCAACCACTGAATCGGTGAGCCTTGAACGTGAGGAGTCTCTGGTAGGTCAGTCCATAAAACCCTCTTCTCGCACGCACAATTAAGTCAATATTGATATTTGCTGTGTATCAGACACCCACATTTAGAATTCTGGTAGTATAAAGCACATGGCAGCGCCGAAGAGATACTTTATTTATACCTTGGGGAAAAACGAAGCTCGTTTAATAGGTCTATGCAGCAGATTTTTACTGAGCGACAAACCCAAGGCCTGACTTATGGACTGAATTTCTATCATCAGTCACTTGCGTGCGTTTTCTGTATTCGATAATGAAGCACCACCAAAAGGCGGCTGTTGTTCATCTCGTGGGTGCTATTATTGTTTGAATGCTTTATATTAGGTTATCCAGAACGATTCATTTATCAACCTGATCTTCAAGAAAAGATCACATAACGGTTACGGAAACCATCGTCGGATATGCGCCATTCCCATGCTCAACAAAGTGCTTGCTTCCATGATACTTCATTGCCTGAAGGCACCAACAGCAATGAATATCCGTGGACAGCAGGCAAGAATCCAACCCGATTGAGGTTGGATGCGTGTGTGCTCCTTGATCTAAATGTTGCGCTTGATTTGACTAAATACGAGAATGTACGATTCTATTGTGTGTTCTTATGGAAACTGGTACAGATCAAGAAGTGTGCTGGTCACGTACGCCACACGACCACATGGTGAAACTCAGCAGCAAGTCACCACAGACAGTAGCTGCTGTCGGTGAACAAAGACAGATCGAAAGAGAGCTAATGAAACATATAAACGATTCCTGCTCTTCCGGCCTCGTAGGATCAAAAATGCTGGTGTTTTAAATATTAGGAGTGCATCTCGATGCATTGCTTTCCATCAACCTATCTACTCACCTAACTTCGCGGCGGATATCGCATACCACGTAAAGCATATGATTCATCTCAACAGGACCTAGTATGGTTTGGGGAAATCTATAGTTGTATCAATATATGTACAATTAGGTTAAGTGCAGCGGGATGGACGAATTTTGAAGTAACTGCCGTAACTGTTTCGGAAAATGCGAAACATGGTTCTGAGCACCTACCAGAACCTTTGCTCTCGTGAAACGCAATGTTACGTTCGTCTTGGCAATAAACATACCAGACCTAATGGTTCTGTACGACTGAGGGACAGGGCAAGAACAGTTGCACAAAATAATTGAGAAAACTGTATGTGAAAATGCAAAGCCAAACACACCTGAGTTTTCTCGTTTAGATCAAGTATTGCCAATCCTACCAGAGCACCAACGCAGTCCGGATCTAAATCCAATGCACGCTGAAATGCGAGTCGCGCCTTTTCCAAGTTTCCAAGTTTGAAAAAACAATGACCCATACCCAAACGCACAGTGGCCGGACAGTTGGGTTGCAGTCGGAGTGCTTTGCGATAAAATCCCAGAGCATTCCGATACTCTTTTTTGTTGAAAGCAATACAAGCTTTACCCAAATATGCCGGAACACTTGGAGCGCCTTGATTGAGCACGAAATTCAACTGGCTGTCAGCTTGGCTCCAATTTTCACCCTCGTAGATGAAAAAGAATGCACGACCGAGCAAATGTTTCTGATCGTACATATCAATTCGATCAGCTGAGGTGAAGAGGCGAGTGGCCTGGGCAATCAGTTGATTCTTCTTTTCCTTGCTCTTTTCTCTACAGAATGCGCACAAATGAACGAGAATCAGTGAGAGGCATATCAGTCAAAACGATAATACAAATGGAAACAGTAAATGCACAAATCAACGAAAAAATGCTGCAACACGTAACTATCACGAATTTAAAGAAAATTCTTTCATATGAAACAAAATACTCGATGCTGGAATCACTTGATCAAGATTTTATAACATCTGTGCACGATCAGGTTCGGTTTTTTACAACTATTAACCATACACTTTCGTGATCCGGTTTTGGTTGCTACCTTTTGATACGCACGATAGGAAACCTCACTGCTTTCCGTAATGTTCTGCTCGATAATGATTCTGCATTAAATAATACTGAGTTACCTGACAACACCAAACGCCTCTACCTATTAGACATATTGATTCCACTTGTTTATGGGCATACTCATTTTGCATTCTACAACAAACTCAGTGGTCGACACATTTTGTTTTAATTCCACGGATTCATGGCTGATCATGTGGGACAGTTTTCTCAATGGCTGGTCTCGGTGATTTAAGAGGTAAAGACCAAATGCGAAATTCCTTCTCGATAGTACGATAAAAGAAATGGCGCCTTTGTTTAGATCAAAACAAAGCCCTCATTGAGAAATTGTTATTGTATCCGTGAACTATTCACAAGTATAACCTCATTGTTCGCTCGGGATAATCATCGGTCAATGCTTGATTCGAATAATTGATTAAATGTTTCATTTTTTCTTGACTGCTGTCTCAGAAAACATAACTGTGTAAAGTCCCACATGTTTGTGCAGTTTCTAGTAGATTTGCTGATTTTATCAAACGGCCTTTTCGATCGCCGCCTTAGGGATAAGTTTGCTGTTTCTTCCAACTTTTGGAGCTAGTATCAACCTACTGCTTTGGAACGTTGAAAATTTTAACAGGCTTTAGTACAACTCTGGTGAGTCACTGCTAGCAAAACACATTCACGAGCAGAAGTAATGTGGGCTGACCGATCTTCAGACTTCATCTGCACGCACAAGCTTAGTTCATTCAATTGACCTTCAACTGAGGAAGCACTATACTCCAGCTTCGCCAACCACTGAACATCGAGGCAGACCAGAATTACCAAATCAAGTATGAACAAACTTAGATTAGCAACTGTTACAAGCGCACAGAGTAATTAGACAGACTAGTTGTCTCTCAACTTCCAGGTCTGGGTTCAAAAGACTGCATAACCGGTTGGTTGGTGGCACTGCAGGAAATTGGACCGACAGAAGTAGCATTCTTGTTGTCACTTGTTATCAGGCCAGAATGCTGGAAAAGGAATGCATTCATAGAGGGAGTGTATACTCCAAGCCCTTTCATTCCCTTTCTCTCAATATAGGCCCAATCCATGATTGCTTTGCACATTCTCACTAACTCGGTATGAACTGTGAGTTTAGCAGCGTTCGGTGAAGTCTGCTTCCCTGTATTCCGCTGTACGGTGATGATGGCGATGTATTAACTTGGAACGCTTTTCGTAGTTAAAAAACACGTGGGTTCAGCCACCGCTACATATGGGGATGAATACATGAAACCAATCGAGCATCGGAGCTATTTAAAGGTAAAATAATAAACAGCATGTAGCAAAACCAAGGAACGAGTAAGCTTACTTATATGCTTTGCGCCCGTAGTAGTTTGCCAACATATCAAGCAAGCGAACCAAATCACTTTCATGATAAGGCTGCAAATCAGCTGCGTTTCGATAGGCCTCTTCAAGGATTTTCTCGAAATCATCATACAACTTTTTCTTATAATAAGCCACCGCAACAGTAGTCCAGATTTGCAGAGGTGCTTTTTCTTGACTCAGAATGTTGAGAACCTCTTCACCATCCGGCAATTGATCTGTATCTAATTCAATTACTTCATCCCCGCCACGCAGTGGGATTTCAATGCTGTTTTCGGCCGGTAACGGTCGATACTCCTGACTTGCCTGCATTTATTGAGATTTGAAAAGGGGAAAATGATGTATTAGTGATTCGAGAAAGCAATTTATTTATCAGAATGGCTACGTGGATTGACTAGTATTTGATACAGAGGTATTCCACTAAAAAACATTTTAGATGAATAAAAACAGAAAACTTGGAGAAGACACAGCAAAGATAATTTGCTTGAAACAAACCCAAGGCTCAAATAACGTTCAGCATTAAGGATGGAAGAGGTTTTCACACACCGCTACACTGCCTGGTTGGTCAGGGTTTAGCTGGCCAAAGGTTTCGGTTGTGAATTCCCAAAAATATTCACCCATTTGGCCTGAGGAACCCAGCAGTATCCCGCCCACTAGCCAATTATGTAACATTTTTCCTTTTTATAAAGATTATTTTCCAGTGATTTATTTGACAAAGTCCGGACTCAGATGCGTCTGAATTATAATGCATATAACAATAAGTTATCCTTCGCTTTTATTTGGGGATCTATTTGTAAATCGGTTAACTATGTAATCAACTCATACAAGTCAGCTGGAATCTCTTCAGTTTCCAATATTAAAGCCAGAAGTTTCGTCAACGTCAAGATCACGGCAGACTCTCTCTCTCTCTTTCTCTCTCTCTCTCTCTATATATATATATATATAT